GCGTTTTTGGTAATTGCCAGCCGGGCGCCGGGGAGGAGCGGCTCCTGTGGGGGTGGTGCAGGCCTGGGAGAGGGAAATATAGCTCTCCCCTCCCTTGGGGTGGGGGTTATAGACGTAATCAGGTCACATCACGTGGGTTTTAAGTGTTTCTTCAGCTACCGAGAGAAATACGTTAGAGGGAGCAAGAGCCTCTTAAAGTGTTTACAAGTCTGTTAACCACCTACGATTTCTCTCTATTAGAAACAGATAAAGGGGTGGTGCTTGCAAAAACAGCTAATGTCAAAGTACAGCTGTGTGCCGTAAGCGTTCATGCCTGGGTCTTCAGAGATACTTAGAGCTCCTTTTGGAAGTTTTGTGACCAATGCGCTTGAGAAGTCACGGGCTAGGTATTGAAAATTTTATGTTTCATCTTTCATGGACTGGTGTTAGAATAGGAAATAGTGGTTGTGAGCCATTGGGAAGTCCTTATTTTGCCATCGTATCCCCTTCACCTGATGTGCATGTGATCAAGGGACCTGTGCGTGGCTTGGGATCTACACTGTGCTTTCAGTGGGTTGTGAGCCAGCGACACAGTCCAAGTTATTCTCTTGTCCCAAATTTTGAATACTCTTCCATGACTTCCTAGAACTAAGGGTCGAGTTGTGTGCAGTACAGACTCACTTAGTGAGCGTTGGCCCAGTTTAGAGCACAACTGATTTAGTTACTCGGGTGAATACAAGATCTGCAGCTAGAGCCATACCTTGAGGATAGTTGTTTTTTAGGCAGTGAAAGGTTAAGCTCCTATTAAAAATCAGTAGCAGTACAGTTGCAGCTGTAGGAGCCTTGAGAACTTGGAAGTACTTGTTGTGAGAAGAGCCTGTTTTTTAAAGAGGTACGGGCCGTAGTTGAAATAGTTCAGTAACACTCCTTTGACAGAAAGGCAAGTGATACTTAAAATTATTAAGCAAGAGTACTGTGTAGTAACTTAGATCTCATTATGATCCTCTGACTTTGTCACAGCGTTCTGATTGCAAGCTTAGTTGCTGTTAGCAACTCAGTAAGGCACTGTAACTCAGAAATTAAACTTAAGTTATGCCAGTTAAAAGGCCTCATTTTCAAGACACACAAAAATACAAAGACTTGGCTAATACAAAGACTTGGCTGTGAAATAAATCAAAATTGAAAGGTGTCTGGAATGTTTTCTAGTTTGAAAAATATAACAGTTTTAGACTAAAATATTTGGATATTGCTAATCCTGTAGCAATATTATCCTTCCTAAAGAAATAAAAGAATTTAATGCAAGGCTATACTCCAAAATATGAGCAACTTGAACATAAAAGTCCTTGTTAGAGGTTATTAGGCTTCCTATGAGAAGTGTGGGTGTTCTGAATAATTTGCGGAAATCGTACAAACTATTTTCATAAGCGCGTTTCTGTTTGAAGTGGTTGTAAGATTTTTAGAATCAGTTCCTCACATGTGCACAGCTGATCTGGTATTTCGTATGTAAACCAGCATTTAGCAAAGGGTTGATTTGTTTGTTTTTAATGGCAGCAGTACAAAAATCATAGGATGTGTATGGAGTGGAATGGTGAACAAAACAGAAAAACATCCATTCCTTTAAATAAATAAGCAGTGCACTGGACTAGTACTGGTCACCGCACCTCCAGGTGGGTACTGCAGAAACAGAGCTGGAGAAGGCAGCACAGAAAGAAGACGCAAAGGTGACTGAAGAGTAACAAGTAGGGCGAAGCTTGATGTTGTTAACTTTAGAGGTGATGTGAACAAGACATGGTAATATGACAAAAGCTTTGAGGTTGCAGACTTTACTGCTCTTGTTTGTAATTAGTTGCTTTTCCCCTTTCTTCCTGCAGGCTTACTGTGGGGTGTTTTGCTGGGCCTCTGGGGCTACAAACTGCTTTTATTTACCTGTTGGCATAGGCAGTGTTTCCCACGTATGGTGTTCTGTATGAACTCCATTTTTCTGTGCTGGGAAGTCTATTGCCGATTTCCCTGCTTCCTGTATTCTCCCTGTTCTTTGTTCTCCCTTCTGTGTCAGGCTGTGGTTACTGCCGTTCCCTTTCTTCCTGTGCCGGACCAGGATGCGATTCCATTCTCCCTACAGTGTTTTCTTATTCCATTTTTTCCCCCTGAGAGAATTCCATGTCCCCGGTCAATTCTTCCTATTATTTCCTCACTTCCGTGTTTTTCCACATCCCTTTTCTTTGTTGATGGTTGTTTGTCTTTTCGTTATCAGTTGTTAAATTCTATTTAGGAGATAGGTAAAGAGAAAAGAGTCCCCCCCTCCCCCCCCCCCTGTGTTTTCCTCTGCATGAAGATTGTCGGCTGATGCCTAGAGCGCAACACTTTGCCATCCCACAGTAATTACATTGCGTCCAACAAATAAATAGGTAAATATACATCTGATAGTTGAACATCAGATGGTCAATTAATAGCAAAAAATAGATTGGGGTTGCTGTTCAAAACAGTAGAGCCCTACCTGAAGCATAAATATAGGAAATTAAATTCCAATAAAAGGAAGTACTACTTCACACACTGTGGAGCTAGTGGCCAAAGGAAACGCATGAGGCCAACAGTTTAAGAGGATTAAAAAAACACCCTGTAGCTATATTTCTGGGTATTTATGGCACTGATACCAATGGATAGTGGTAGCAAAGTTTGGAAGAGGTAGTAAACTCCATGATTCCGGGCATATTTCAGCTGTAGACTGGAGGCATGTTATTTTCTGTTCACTGTGAATTTGGTTGGATGGAAGTATTTAGTACTGGCTTCTGTCATGAATGGAAAAAATACTGGGAATACAGAGATGCTGGGTCTCATCCAGCATGACAGTGTAAGCTCTTTTATGCAAGTTTTGCTGTACAAAAAGTTCTTGCTGGGTTGTTCAGTACAACCAAAAGGCTGTTATATTTTAGAGAACAGTTTAGACTTAGAAATTTAACGTCATTTTAACTGAGCATAGCTCAGTTGAAGACTAAGGCTAACCTACTTGGAATATGAGAGCTTTTACAAAAACCTCCCACCAGGAAGTGTTCTGGACATACCTAAAGACAGCTAGTTTGATCATTGTACTTGCTGACGGACCTACTGACCGATTTGAGCTAGTGTATATTGGATTTGTTCAGGAGAGGAAACGACTGTGTCAGTGAAGACGCAGAATCTAGGACGCCTGATGATACTGCACAGAGAACAAAAAATGTTTTAGGAATCATACACATGAGGTTGAAAGTTTAAATCGAAGCTGGTTTATGTGGATATTGATGGGGCTGCAGTGAGTGTGGGTTGCTTAAGCTACGATGGGGTATCTAATTCCTCATGTGATGTCACCCATGGGCTGAAGTGAAACCGAGCTTCAGAAATATTATCCTCCCCTTTAAAATCTGATCTTTAAGAAAGGGAGAAAAAAAAAAAAAACAACCCTTGCAAATCCTCACAGGCTGAAGAGACTTTATGTCCGTGGCTTCTGCAAGAGCCTGATGGCTGTGAGCAGTTTTGCAGGGTTCTTAAGTGCACTTTGGGATGCTGACGGGAGCCTAACTTCGAAGGCATTGTTAAAAATGATTGCTTGGCTGTTACCAATCTGTAATTTACTGCGAAGAGTATATTGCAGAACTGTTGTAGCTTGAGTTGGGATATTTTTAAGGGGATCAAGATAAGCCCGTTGGTGCATACTTGGTAGGCTTAATTGCTTTTGCAATGGAAATCTTTTTGTAAACATGATTGTGAGTTGGCATTGCAAGAGCGCTCTGAATAATTGTGCTAGATGTGCTCTCCAGCTGCCCCAAGTTGGCTTGAAGGGCATTAACAGTGAATCAGATCTGTGGGCACAGTGATGGTTAGTAGCTAACTTCATGTATTATACAGCAGTAGTGCTTAGGAGTCTCTGTCACAGATCAAAGCCTGTTGTACTTGGCAGTTTGCAAACATGAAATAAAATGGATTTCTCTGCCTAAAAGAGGTCTGTAATATAAGGATTTATCATTGTGATTTCTGGTAGCTTTAGCTGTGATAACTTAAGATGCTTGTTGCTCTGCTATCCTATTACTGCAACGGTGAACTACGGTGTAGGAGCAGAAGGGACATGTTCTGCTCCTCTTGCACATCGGCTGTGTTCACTACAGGTTGCGAGTCAGAACTCACAAAGAGGGAAGACTAGGTCAGGGCTGTTCTTTAGGAGCTGGCAGAGGTGGTCTGTAATACTGATGTTGCCAATTCATTTGATTACAATTTCAGAGAATGTTATATTCCCTGACCTAAAAGTTTCGGGTTTGTTTGGTGTTTTCTTTGCATATCTGTAAATACCCATGAAAAGGAGGAAAGTTGATCTATTTTGTTTTCTAAACAACATGAATAAAGATAAGATCTGAGCTCAGCATGAAGACATTGAAGGCTGCCTAGCACTTCAATAGATGAGTTGATGTGAATTCTCAGTGATGCCACGATATTAAGTGGAACAAAGGATGCTAAACTACTTTTGTTTTCTGTTTGCAAGGTGCATGGAGATACCTCACGTACTGCATTTTTCGGCTCTGTCTTTTTAGTGTCTGCTGTTGCCGCTTTGATACGTGCATGTAGTGTCCATTACTTACCGCATATGTCTTCAGTAAAATCTCATATAGAAGTACCCAGTGCCTAAACAGAGTTTGTACCTTGCGAGATGACAGATACAGATTTGGTTGAGGGGCAGAGATGGCAAGGAGGGGTTTGTTTTTAAGCCAGCTGGTTAAGGCTGGCAATTACTTCCTAAGCCTTGTGTTAAAGCACAGGATATATTCAGAGATTATTCATAAAGCCACCTGCAAATTGTGCGCTTTCCCTCTTTCCCTTTCTTACCTTTGTACGCCAGTCCCGGCTTGCTTTTGTTGAAATGAGTCTGCAGAGTTCCCTTCTCTCTCCTGAAAGATAAACGTGAAGATGGACAAAGGTTTAATTTTGCTTCCTGTATTGTGCATAATCACCTGTTTTCTGTTTTTATTTAAACTTCCTCAACCCATAATTTAGCTGGATCCTATCTTAGATCAGTAGTCACATTAGCACTATGGCAAACTCTGCTTCTGATTATCACCCAATTAGTCCTTTCTCTATAGTCTGCAGAAGACGACACCTTTTCTCTTTCTCATTCTTTTTATTCATGTTTGTCCTTTGTGTGGCTCATAACGTCCCATCTTTCTCTCCCTTTCCCTTTCGAAGGCTGAGTGTATTCCTTGATCTGGTTTATGCTACGTTGACTGGAGGGAAAACAATATGTTCCTTGTTTTCTAAGCAGAAGTTTACATAAATGTAGTGATGTTTCTGAATAAATGAGAATTACCACCTGTATAAACTAATTTTATGATATTTTTCTTGATCAGACTTAAATGCAATTAATCGGTTTTTCTCATGAAAATAGTTTGGTTTATGACTTATAGTCCTTTTCTTCCTCAAATACTTCTTCCTTGTCCCCCCGTCCCCCCAGCTGCTTTCCCCCCCAAAACTGCATGACAGTTTTTAAGCTCAGGGTTAAAAGGGAAAGTTGTGTCTGGTAGATTGATGTTATGAAGTCATACCACATTTTTTCATCACTGTTTGTTCGCCTCAGTGTCCTTAATCAAAATAGCCCCTTTTCTCTTCTGTTTTCTGTTTATGGGTTGTGAACTTTCCTTTGCCTTCCCAAAATTAAAGATGGTATAAAGTATTATTATCATGCACACAACCACAAATTATCCCCTCTGTCTGGTTTATCCAGTACTTAATAATGGAAATATTGTCTTATCCTTACTCCCCCCAGTCGTCCCTACTATTAACACTCTTACTCACAAGTAATTTTCATATCCTCACTGATCTGAATATTTGTAATATCCTTAATTTTTTTTTTAAAGTGGGATCTCTGGGGACAAAATGTAGTTGAGAGTCAGCAAATCCAACAAAGAAAACACATATAGTAAAACTCTATTTCAGGAACTGAGTAAGTTTCCACTTGTTCAAAATGCATGGGAAACTATTTGTAGAACGTTGCGATAATTTTGTTTACGGTTTAATAACGTAAGGATTGAGGGTAGTGTTGCCTTTGGATATATATTTACAGAGTCACTGATGTGGTCTTAGTTCTTCCCATCTGTGGCGTTGTCATTCCTCAGGTGTGAATGTGCCGCCTGTGTGTTGATTTTTGGCAAAGAGAGTTCTGCAGAAGACCTGGCATGCATATTTTCTAATGTGGTATAAGTTTATTCTTGTTGGTTTAATGTTATCGAAACTATTTTAGGCTATTCACTGCTGCCTTATTGTTGACATGTGCCAGCACTGTTAACATATCCTTTTCAGAGATTAGTAATGCTGAAACAACAGTCCAATGAAAAGAGAGCGGTCCCTCCACAGCAGGAGTAGGAACTTGCTAGTTCCTGTCGAACAGAAAAGCACAAACGCTCGAGAAGTTACCCCCCTCCCTGAGCGGAGGGAGCAGACTTCTCAGTGAAGGGTACTGTACACGGGTTAACGTGCAGCTTTGTTCTGTTGAGGGCTGATGCGTTTTTCCCATTCCTTGCTACTTGACAGGGACAAGTAAATACTTTGTGATATGAGGGCAGACTTAATTTTTTCTGGTTCATGAGATAGTCTAAAATAATTTTTTCAAATATTGCTGTATTTGTTACCTTTCTCACCATCTGTTTTGCTTTTCTTCCTCTGTCTCATCCTTTAGGTCTAGCTTGGGGTGTAGAAAAGAATGTATGCGTGTTCCAGGCACTGTTCACTGTTGCA